ATAAACTAACAGCATTGACCGAGTTTAGTTGAATAAATAATAACAAATAATTAAATTAAATAACATTAATTTAATTCTCTAACATGCCCCCGCAAGCTGGACGGCCGACGGGAAAGTCTGAGCTTGTTGATGATAAATTCAAACTGGGGACGATGGAGAGGCTTCGTCAGAACATCGGCGAGCTGGTCGCCAGTGGAAACATGAGTTACTCGGAAAACACCACGTTGCACATTCTCCCAAACAAAGTGATAGGCGATGGCAATGTGTTTCATTCTGGAGTGGAATACAAGATTGGATGAGAGAAAGGTGGCACCCATATTGTCACAATATATGGCAGGTTGATGGATCCTGTGATGGAGCTCTTTGAGAAGAGACATGAGCCAAAGAACTTCGGATGCAGTGTCTGCGAGGGCTCGGTACTCGAATTCTGTGGAGGAACGAGCCACAACTCTTTTCTTTTTGGAGCCCCAAGAGATAGGGGTGGAACCGAGATAAATTATGAATCCAGTTGTGGAGACGTAAGTGTCCCTGTCACCAGCTCAGTCGGCATCGGAAAAGGCACGTAATGTTGTGGATGGGCTGGGAGAAACAACGATGCCCCTGTCGATAGTTCCGACAAGGTATCGAAGCAAGCGTTTGAGAGCAGCCCAGTGAGATGATGTGGGATGTTGCATAAATTGGGACAGTCTATTGACTGCATATGCAACATCAGGACGGGTTAAGCTTAAGTATTGCACTGAACTTCGACAGGCACCGCGGGCGTGGTACACTGAACTCCGCTCCTTTTTTACTCAAAATTGGTTTTGTAACCTCTGCGGCAGATGCGTCACTTTTCATCCATTCCAGTGAGTCAATCTTTCTTGTATTATTGGTATATATGGATGATATTATCGTCACCGGAAACACCGACACAGCCGTGACCCAACTTGTTCAACGCCTTACTGCACAATTCTCTCTCAAGGATTTAGGCACCTTGTCATATTTCCTGGGTGTTGAAGTAATCCCACATCACTCTAGTGGCCTTATGGAGAGGTTTTAGGAATCTCTATAACTGTCACATTTACTCTTGTATAAGAGGCAAAATATCAGTTAATAAAATCACAAAAGAAAACTTCTTCAAATATCCTTGTTTTATATGGTATCAGAGCTTTGTTGAGCCGGCATACATGGTTGGGATGAGATGTATATGTGAAGCCTGGCGGTTGGCATACGTACACCTCCTCAGAAAGTGAACCTTGCAAGAACGCATTGTTGATGTCGAGTTGACGCAAGTGCCAACCCTTGGAGACGGCTAACATAAGAATGACTCTAACAGTAACCGGTTTGACCACAGGGCTGAACGTCTCATGGAAATCCCAGTCGGGCCGTTGATGGAAGCCTTTTGCGACGAGCCTTGCCTTTAGACGATCAATAGAACCATCTGGAAGATATTTGGTTCGAAATACCCATTTGCTACCAACCAAGTTTTGTGTGGGGTGGGGTGGAACTAGAGTCCAGGTATTGTTGGCGCATAAGGCATCATACTCCTTTTGCATTGCTTCCCGCCATGCTCGATCCTTGAGAGCTTGCGTGATTGTTCATGGTTCAATGGGTGGATGAGGAGTGGCAGAGAGGTTCATCTTGTGGAGGGGTTTGAAGATGTTGTTTTGGGATCGAGTGACGATGCCACGATCTGGGATGATTTGAGTGGGTGGCGGTGTTGATTGTGGTTCTGGGTATGAGGACTGAGAGGTAGAGGGAGTGGCAGCGAAGGGACTGGATATAGAGGATGATGGAGATATGAGTGGATTTTTTTGAGAGAGGCATGCAGAGGTCGTTGGACTTGGAGAATTAGGGGGGTTGGGAGTGGAGTTTAGTGAGCCTGATGATGGGGTAGGTGGATAACTAGGATATGATGAGGCTGATTGGGACGAAGATGGAGGTGGCCTGGGACATGGGAGGATGGGTATTGACAAAGTGGTCCAATTTGTATGTTGTTCTGAATTTTGTGTAGTTTTGGGTTGTTGCCGAAACGGGAATTCAGTTTCAACAAATTTGACGTGCCTTGAGGTGTAGACGCGTCAGGTTTTCGGGTCCATTCAATAGTAAGCATGTTGAGTTGTGGAGTAACCTACAAAAACACAAACAACAGATCTGGATTCCAATTTATGAGAAGTGTATGGTTTTAACCATGGAAAACACAAACAACCAAAACTTTTTAACTTAACATAATCTGCATTTTGTTTAAAAATAATAGAAAAAGGTGATCGATTTTGTAGAGTTGGGGTGGGAAGACGATTGATGAGATATACCGCGGTGAGAAGTGCGTGAGGCCAAAACTCAAGTGGCATACCAGAGTGTGTTAGTAGGGCAAGACCAGTTTCGACTATGTGATGGTGTTTATGTTCAGATATACCGTTGTGTTCGGGAGTATGTGGTGGTGAAGTAAAGTGACTTATTCCGTGTTGACTTAGGAAATTTTTAAGAGCAATAAACTCGCCGCCATTATTAGAATAGAATACTTTGATTTTTGTTTTGAAGTAATTTTCGACAAGTGACCGAAATTTAATGAATGTATTTTGGACATCAGATTTGCGTTTGAGTGGATAAATCCAAGAATATCGTGTAAAGTGATCAACAAAAACAACATAATATTTGAATCCATCGTACGACAATATAGGAGAGGTCAATACATCCGAGAAAATAACTTCAAGAAAATAATTTGAACAAAGACTAGAATTATGAAATGGGAGCTTGTGACTCTTATTTAATTGACAAGAGGTGCAATCAGATTGCTCAAAAGTGGGGGAGCTAATTTGAAGTTGTTGTTGAATTAATTTGAATGTAGCAGCAGATGGATGACCTAAGGCGTGGTGCCATTGTAGATTGGAGTCGCGGGACAAAGACAAAACTGTAGGAGAGGAGGTGGGCCACATGTATAAGCCGTCTCTACAAGGTCCATTAAGAAGAATCCTACTTGTTTTGAGACACTTAACATGAAAAGAATTGGGTAAGAAAACAATAGCACAGTTCTGTTGAGTTGAAAGTTGAGAAACAGAGATAATGTTTTTGGTCATTTGTGGAACACAAAGAGTATCAACTAATTTAAACATAGATGCATAAGTGTTAAGTGAAAGATTTCCAGAGTTAGTGATTCACAAACCTTCACCACTGCCCATGAATAGTTCGTCTGGACCGTTGTAGGGATAGTGGAGGGAGAGTTGGTCGAGGTCGTTGACAACGTGATGCGTTGCACCGCTGTCGACTATGAAGTTTTGAGAGGCGGAGGCAGTGTTGGCAGTGTGAGCTTGAGGTGGGGTATGAGGTACAGGATTTTTGGGCAATGTTGGAGGACGAGCGACCGGATGCTGTTGGCGGAAGAGAGGACAGTAGGCAACGACATGGCCTATTTCACGACACCATTGGCATTTGCCGAGAAAGGGTCGAGCGTGTTGCGGGGGGGCCATGGGAGGAGTGCGGAAGTGAGTGGGAGTTGAGCGGTTGGATGGCTGCTGATGGCGTTGCCGATTGTTTCGAGGACGAGACTGTGCGTTCAGGGCTGTTGCTGGTGCGCCCGAGTTGGTTGCTGTAGTGTGGAGTTCATGTTCCCTGACGATGAGCTTCTCGTGAAGCTCGTCAATATTGATGGTGGTATCCCGGGCCTTGATCGCGTCAACAATGGACTGATAATTTCCATCGAGACCTTCGAGGACATAAGAGACAAGGTCGTCATCGTCAATCGGTTTTCCGAGCGAAGCGAGGAGGTCCGCGGTCGAAGTGTCCGATTGAATGTATTCAGTGATCGACTTAGAGCCTTTTATTGAGGAGCGCAACTTTGCTTTGAGTTGATTAAGGTGGCCCTTTGATGGGTTGGCATAGGTGCGGGCGAGAATATCCCATGCTTCTTTTGAGGTGGTGGCTCGAGTGATCAACGGAGCCACAGAGGTGTCGAGGGTACCGACTAGAGCGTCATAAAGGAGTTTATCCTGACGCATCCAAGAATTGAATGCCGGGTTGGGGGTGGTGACGTTGTTGGCAGTGAGAGTTGTAGGCGGAGCAGGGTGGTCGCTGTTGAGAAACTTGAACAAGTCATATCCGGTGAGAGTCGCCTGAATTTGCGACTTCCAGGTTATGTAGTTTGAAGTGGTAAGTTTTATGGCGTTAGTGAAGTGCACAATGACGAACGCGCGGGCGCCGTCGTTTGGGTTAGTAATGGTGGTGGAAAATTCAGCAACCATGGTGTTTGATTTTAGAGAAGAGATAGATCAGCGGCTGATACCATATAAAACAAGGATATTTGAAGAAGTTTTCTAACAGCATTGACTGAGTTTAGTTGAATAAATAATAACAAATAATTAAATTAAATAACATTAATTTAATTCTCTAACATGATGTTCCACCTCAAAGTTAGGAATACAAATTTATTCAATTTTAGAATGAATTACAAAAGAGTTAGAGTGCCAAATCGATATTAATCCAATTAATATTAACTGAAAAATCATTTTGACCTTAGTCTCTAAGAAATGATGAACACTTAAAATCTCGACCTTAGTTCACAATATTACGTCTACTTCGTTGGATTGGATAGAGAAGTGTAAATATTATATGCCAAGTCGAAATAACACCCCCAAATCATACCTAAGAGACTAAAGGATCTAGCCTTCGAATGCGGCATATGAATTTACCCCTACCTAACTTGTCAATGTTCCATCTCCAAGCCAAAAATATTGTATTTACAAGATATTATCCCATTTGAGTATTTGTGTGCATTTATGAGAGGCATCTTGTTAAATTTTTTTTACATACTAAACATAAAAGAAGAAGAAATAAAAAAAAAAAAAAAAGCCTAGGGGAAAGACATGCCATGAAAAATGAAACATAATGCCACATGCCTTGTCTTGAGCATCCATTCCTATGTACTTCCTTTTCCTGACTTATAAAAGTTGAAAGCAACTAACAGCCTGTCGTTATTATATGAATAATACTCACTCAATACAAGTATATCATCATCATATGCAATTATGCATCTTCCTTTCTTTTCTCTCTCAATCTTTTATACTCTCTGGAATAGCAAGTAACCCTATATTTGGCAAAACTAATTATTTTAATAATTATTTTACTTCCTTCTACTTCTTACAACCATCATATATATCATCCAGGTCCTTTTTTGCCTCACTTTCATCACTGTTCCTATCTCTCTCTACACAGTATCTTCAACTTTTTCAATACATTATCCATTATTCTGTGATCCACAATTTCTTAGGTATGTTTCTTAGGTGCTAAAATAGAATATGGTTTTTTTATTTTTTATTTTATTTTTAATTTTGATTTTATTTTTTTACTGTATTAAGTACTCACGGATTCCATCCATGTCAGGCAACGAGTGGTGGTTGAAGGAAGTAGGCATCCTTCTGCTACAATTGTCTGCTACTGCTAGTACTCTCTCTCTCCTCTCTCTCTCTCTCTCATCATTTATTTATTTTCTATGTTTCTTTCTTTGTTTTTGCTTCATTGTATGTTGTTGAGTAATTTGAGTTTCTTTGGAACTTTTTGATGACTACTAGGTAGTTATTGTTTCATAAGTATAGGTGAAAACTTGATTATGGAGTGGAATTTGAAAGCATCTTCATGGGATTTGAGTGGTATAGAAGAGGCAACAACATTACCTAACATAGAAACAATGGAAGAATCTAACAGATTTGGAGTTTATAAGAGCAAAGGAGAGTTTTCTGTTGACTTGAAGCTTGGTCAGGTTGGGAATTCTGCTACTGAATCATCTTCCTCAGTACCACTTCCTTTGTCCAAAGATGTTTCTGCTTCTGTCTCCAAAATTGCGTCCCCTTCTTCTTCTTCGGGTTCCTTTAAGAGAGCTCGAGCGGTTAATAACACTACATTGACAGTTTCATGTCTTGTGGATGGGTGCAATTCTGATCTTAGTAATTGTAGAGATTATCATAGGCGGCATAAGGTTTGTGAACTTCATTCCAAGACTCCTGAGGTTTCAATTGGTGGACTCAAACAAAGATTCTGCCAACAGTGTAGCAGGTATATGTATATACATAGTTTTAGGTTGCTTGTAATTTGTTTGTTCTATTAGTTTGTTTATGCCTCAATTGAATCTTATCCATTCTTCATGTTAGCTTCTCAAGTACTATTGTTTGATATTCCTTTAGCATCTTTATTTAATTAGCTTTCTTTATTCTTAAACCAAATAAGAATCTCAGCACATAAAAGACCTGCAGGTTACACTTTAAGATTTGATTCTATCACACAAGTTGCATTGCACAACACTTCATATCGAAGGTGTGTCCTGTATCTGATATGTGTCAGTGTCTTGTGTCTGTTTCGTGTCCTGTTTGATACATGTGACTGTCCTATGTCTGATACGTGTCATGTATTTGATACTTGTCAGTGTCCTGTGACTGATACGTGTCAGTGTCTGACACCAACACAAACCCATTACAAATACTTACATTTAGATTTTGTTATAGCATTTCTCAAATGACTATCGGTGTCAATGGTTTGTATCTGGTGTCTGTGTCTATGTGACGTCATGCTACGTGGTTGAGGTTCCTTAAAAAATCATGAATCATAATTTCCATTTTTTTGTAGGTTCCATTCGCTCGATCAATTTGACGAAAGAAAAAGAAGTTGCAGGAAACGTTTAGACGGACACAACCGGAGGAGAAGAAAACCTCAGCCCGAACCTATCACCCGACCTACTGGCAGTTTTTTGTCCAACTACCAAGGCAAGCTTTTCTACCACATTATTATCCTGAGTGGACCCATTTGAATATATATGCTTAGATTTGTTGCAGAAGTTGGCTAAAGATCCCCACATAGATACAAAAAATATACAGTATATCAGAAGAGTAGTAAGAAGATTCATGTGCTAATAACATAATATATATGCACTTAGCTAGATGAGTGCGCCTGATTTGGTCCATTTATGTTCCTACAACCTCATGACAATCTAATGGCCACTAATATAATATGTCAAGTAGGGTACATATACCAAACAAAACGTTTTTGCTCAAGCATATCATTTACATACACCAGACACGACAATATCAGCACTAACACGTCGACACCAAATATAATCACGTGTGTCCGTGTAAGACGCCAGACACGTCTTTTTTCCAGCCTCACTACCCATTAACAAAACAATGATATATTTATTGACCATTCCAGTACATCATTTAAGAAACTCGATTTCTAAAATTTTAGTGCTATACTTTTTCAGGCACACAGTTGCTACCCTTTTCAAGTTCTACTGCGATGGTGAATTCAGCTTGGAGTAACGGACTGATTTCTTCCGGTGAAAGTGGTATGCTACACATCCACAATCAACACCAACAAGTTCCTGTAATTGACAAACAAGATCTTTTTCTCGGTTCAACTGCAACCAGTTACGGAGAAGGGAAGCAACTTCAATTCTTACACACGGACAACAACATTCCTTCGCTTCATAACCAGAACTCACCTCTTCTAAGGACAAGTAACAAAATGTTCTGTGATAGCTTAACGAATTCTTCAGTAAACGAATCTCCTTGTGCTCTCTCTCTTCTGTCATCATCACAGACACACACACCTGAGAATGGTTTGAACCAAATGGTGCAGCAGCAGCAGCAGCAGCCTCACTCAATGTCACTTATGCAGCCCTTAGGACTGAGTCTGCATGGTAATAACAACAGCTTTGAATCTATGGATAGAGTTTTGGTCCCTAATGGGAGTGAGAGTGATCATTGTTCTTCATTGTATAACTTGGCTTCGGATGGTTCTCAAGGCAATGAAGCACCTCAACTCTTCCCCTATCAATGGGAATAGATGATTTTGATTATCATAAGTGTTCCTTCAACCTTTGTTAGTTTATTTCGAATGAATTCTCTACCTACGGACTACTTAATTATGATTTTTCTTCCTTAGTTGATAAAACTAATCTACCATCATGAAATTTATATCTGTGTTTAGGAAATGAAACACTAGATAATAAAATTCTAAATGCGATTTTATGTAAAATGCCACGGCCAAATAAAGATTCCTTTTAAGAGTTTAGTTGTGACTTGTGAGCTTATGATGCACTTTAAATATCATAATCATCTGTTAGATGTTTAAAATAATTATTATGATTAAAGTTAAACGTTTTTGATAATTAGATGACTATAACTCATTAACAATATATGGAATTTCTCCTTTTCAACAAAAGAAACAGACATCAGTTCCTCCTCGAGCACATATCGAAACACAACCATCCATCTTCTTCCTTGATTAATCTCTATTCATCGACATCGATATCATTTTTCATTGGTTCTAAACTTGGTAAGAAAATTTACTTAATTTGATATAAGTTTATGACTATGGAATTTTATTACTATAATCTGTTATATTTTTGCTTTTGCAATTAACTTGAAAATTTGGATTATTGATGCATTATAATGACACATAAGTATCTATGTCAAATAAATATCAATTTTAACATGATGAAAATGTTGAATTATTTGATATAATGTTAGATATAATATAAATTGTGTAATTCAAGTCTAAATCCAATTAGGATTTGTTAGCCTACTTAATATACAAGTTAGTTGTATGTAAATAGACAATTTATAAATCAATTTGTAACAATTCAAGTCAATAATATAATCTTATTTCCTTTATTCTCTCTTTCTCTCCTCACTAAATGTGCCTCACACACTAACAGTAAAATCGCCATGCAAAACTAATTTACTTAGAAAATCGAACTTGATAACATTGGTAGTAGTGTAAGTCTAAAGAACGACTCACAAGAAAATAGTCTTCCAAACTTCAAGAACAAATCATATTTTCTACCTAAGTGCGTATTTTTCTAACTCTTAATATATGAATCACATAAACCCAAACCCAAAGTGTTTAGAAGTACTTTTCAATCCTCTTATATGTCTCCAAAGTTTCGATAAGTTATTAGAACAATGATTCCTAAGAATTTATACACTTATCCCCCCCCCCCCCCTCTCTCTCTCTCTCTCTCTCTCTCTCTCTCTCTCTCTCTCTCTCTCTCTCTCTCTCTCTCTCTCTCTCTCTCTCTCTCTCTCTCTCTCTCTCTCTCTCTCTCTCTAACAAAAGTCATTGGGAATCATATTTATAATGTCTGAAAACCCTAATCAGCCAGAGTTACACACCCAGTCGACAAACCTACTTGAGCCCCCTAACCAAACAAGTTGTTGACCAAGGCGATAAATCCATTGACCAAGCAAATCAAGCTATTAACCAAGCAAGTCAATCCGTTGATCGAGTAAGTCCAAGTCGTTGACGGATTCGTTGACCAAGCTGCTCCCAATCTTAAATGTTCCCCTCCTTGATCACTCAAGTTTTTTAGGCTTACTTTCAGAAATCTCCACCTCAACTTAAAATCAATGGTGATGTCAATTTACCCAGCAACCACATTGTTGCTCTCTGAAGCTTAAGTCGTTATTCAACAAACTTAATAAAGTCAAAACAATGCTTGAATCTTGATGTTGGCACTTGCATCCAGTTGCATCTGACCACCTTTTCATGCTTCAATAGTCTCATAAGCTCATAAATACGGTTCATTAGTTCTGACTCTTACAACCATTCAGCCACATTCAAAGCAGAACAAATAAGATCATCATAATTGTATCTATGAGGTGGTACAATTTTCCTCCTTACTCTATTACAAGTTAAATGATAATCATGAGCCACTGTAAACATTCTCTCACTGGAACTAGGATAAGAAACATTTCGTTCTTATCCCTAGTCTTCCTAGTAAGAACCTCCACCTTAAATTGAGTCTTCTCCACCATAGTTTCTACTTCTTTCATCTCCGGGTCTTTACATTTTCCTTCCTAATGTGTAACTTAAAGTAAAGAACACGTTGGTTATCCTGGTTCGTTTGAACTCAAACTACTCCAGTCCACCCGCCAAGATGATTTCGCCTCTCTCAACGAGGTCTTAATCCACTAATCAATCTTGATTATAAATCTACTATGACAACCGTCAAAGTCTTCTTGAGTATAAACCGCAAGACGGTTTTTCTCAAGGAATTTCTCTAAACAATATTTGAATAAAAGTGTACAAGAATGTTTTCTAATAAAACAGTATCACAAGGATGTTTTACACAGTTTGAATTTTGGACGTTTGAGGATGATAGAGATAGCAGTGTTACTGTGCGTGAAAAATCGTAAATGATTTTGTGAGGGAAAAGGTGAAAGAATTAAGTTTTAATGCTTGTCAAAAACCTATCCGTGTAAATATGTCATGCTTCAAACAGGTGCAAGTGAGAAACATCAAAAACAAGCATTTTTCTCAAAACAGACTGCATGAGCCGGATCATGGAACATTAGGTCGGCTCATGAGAAGAATATTTTGGCTTGGCAACATTCGGGAAGGAGCACAACTTCTCTATGTGTCGATGCATAGTTTTGGGAAAACATGAGTTGGCGCATCGGGCAATGAGTCGGTACATGACTGAAGGAATTTCAACCTCTCTCGCTCGGGAAGGCGCACACCTTCTTTACACCCTGTATGAGCCGACACATCGCTAAATTGTCTCATTTTTTCTGCTATGTTGTTACTTGGGAATCACTTATATATATTGTTTGACTTCTATTTTCTATAAAAAAACAAGAAAAAGTGAAAGATAGACACAAGAGCTCTCTTCATCTTTAACCTCTCATCAACCATTAACAACTACACACAATCATTTTTGTTGATCAAGTTTTTGGGATTGTACAGTTGATAACGTCCGAATTGAAAGTGCAATTTCAGATTTGGGTAGAGATCTTTGTGGGTTTTTTCTTGAATAAAACCATCGGAGTTTTGTCCTCCAAAATTGGCGGTTTTTATCACAAGTCTTTGCTTCATTGAATTCAGCCGAGCTAAGGGATTGGAAGACCGTGGGATATTCAATCGGGTAGCGGTAACCCGAGGATTGTGAAGAAGGATTTGGGGCCAATTTCTAGGGTTCAAAATCATTCAAGGTAGAAGGAGATTTTGTTCAAGATTTGGCATACTTGATTCATCTAGAATCAAGGGAAGAGGAGTGCAACATATAAGATTCATCAAGTGACTTTGAATTGTGGTGATTGTATCTTCTCTTACAAACTTTGTAAAATTAATTTCATAATCCTAATTCTAGATTCTAGAATTGGGGGCAGAGTAGCCCACGCGAGGACGACATGGTGAATTGCCTTAACAAATACTTTGTCCATTTTAGTTTTCTGCATTTTATTTCTATTTGCTTGAATTTGTGAGTTATCAGTTTTTCTCATTCATATAAAATAATTGTAGTGACAAACTAAAATTTATAACTCATATAGCATTCATTTGAATCGCTATAATCACTACAATTTGAGTATAATCAAACCTTATGTAGTACGTACACCAAGTGTTTGGTGAATTTACAACTCACAAATTTGCTTTATCTTCTCCGCAACTAATTGGTAATAACTTACACCTTGTTAAACTTGCTAAAGCGATTCATCATATTCAATTTTAGTTGTGATTCTATTCTCATCATTTCATCAAATTGGTTTGCATATCCGATCTTTCCAATACGTAAAGTTTAGACGATCAGATTCAAGGCTGTTGCTCTCTGATAAAAACAATTTTACAAAAAGCGCAAAATTTTCAAAGGGATCTATTCAACCCCCTTCTAGATCCGTCACATCGTCTAACAAGTAGTATCAGAGCGCCGGTTTGTCCAGTGCTTCACATACAACTTCTAGAAATGGATTGTGATCTAAAATGGGGCATACACTAGAGCACCCGTTTTCACATGTGAAAATTATAGCTATTGGAAAGATTGTATGCGTGTCCATATCATATCTGTTGATAGGAAAATATGGAAGGTTATCTAAGATGGGCCAGTTGCAATAACTATGCAAAATGCTTCTGGGATAACCGTTCCTAAACCGGAAGCACAATGGGATGAAAAAGATGAGAAAAAGTATGCATATGACTGGAAAGCAAGAAACATGCTCATAGCAGCTATATGAGTTGATGAGTATTTTTGGGTCTCACATTGTGCTACGGCTAAGGAAATGTGGGACGCTTTGCAAGTTACCCATTGGGGCACAAACGATGTAAAATTGGCTAGAATCAATACTTTAACGCAAGAGTTTGATCTCTTTCGCATGGAGCAAGGTGAAACCATCGCCGACATGCAAAAGAGATTTTCTCATATAATGAATCGCTTGCATACACTTGGTCATGTAATTGCCAATTCTGTTGCTACTAATAAAATTTTGAGATGTCTTAGCAGGGAATGACAACCTAAAGTTACGGAAATTAAGGAAGCCAATGATATAAATACTTTGGATCTCACAACACTATGAGGTAAGCTTCAAGAATATGAGCAAGAGCTCATAAGCCTTGGAAAGCATGAAAAGAAAGAAAAGAAAGAAAAAAAGGAAAAGTCAAGGGACTTGGAAAAGAAGTCTATAGCACTAAAGGCTTCAACCTCCAAGTCATCCACCTCAATTTCGTGTGCAAGTGAATCAAATGATGATGATGAGAGTCCGGATGAGGATATGGCTCTGTTCGTAAGAAAATGCAATAGATTTCTCCGGAAAAATGAAATTCAACATTCGGATAAGAATCTCATCAATTATAGATGCCACTCTTAACCAAGCAAGCAAGATGAAAGTAAGAAGCCTAAGTCACGAGGATCATGCTACCATTGTGGCAAACCCGATCATTACAAGTCGGATTGCCCCTATTTGAAGAAAGACAAAGCCAAGGCCAAAAATTAAAAGAAACCAACCAAAGCTAGAAGAGAATACATTGCTTGGAAGAGCGATAGTGATTCCTCAAGTAAAGGTTTCTCAAGT